AGAAGGGAAAGGAAAAATGCTGAGAAATGGAAAAAATGGAAATAAAGTCTTTGTAAATAGGGAAGGGTGGAGGGGGTGAAGGGAGGGCTGTTGTATATCTAAAATGTACCAATAAAAGAACAAACAAAAAAAGGACACATTATGGCACTTTACATAACTATCAAAACTGACAACTGCTTTGAAAAATGTTAATAAATCTTATGGAGGCTAGCATAATCTTCAGAAGGAATTAATTAGAAAAGGAAAGCATTCTTTGAAATGTGGGGAAATGATTCAGCACTCACACCTAGATCTTAAAAGAAGTCTAAAATGAAATGTTGGCAAAGAGGAAACACAAGGCCTCTGTAGAGTTCACCTTTAGCCTTGGGCGATTCACATACCATGAGAGGAAATCCTGAAATAATAAAAGAGATGGTCTGTTTGCTTGGATCGGGACAGCCTACCTCTCTCCTTCAACTGTGTCCTGCCATAGAAACATTGCTTGTTTCTAAAGCAGTTACCACTGTTAAGTGTGAGGGGAAAAAATTAAAAGAATTTTAATATAATAATATGTCCCCAAAAGTCAAATATTGACAATTTCATAGGTTTCAACTTAATACAATGAGTAAACATAAAATACCCTCCCAATACAAAAATACATACAAAAAGTAAAAATATAAGCTGCACTGTGAGATATGTGAAATTGGAAACAAGACCCAAACTATCACCTAGGCAGAGTACTGCATGTTTGCAATCCCATATACTTGGGAGGTTGAGATAGGAAGATCACAATTTGAGGCCAGCATGGGCAACACAGCAAGCTATTGTTAAAATTATTTTATAACATACCTTTTAAAAATTTAAAAATTTCATTGGAGGGTGGTAATCTTGTGCACGCTGGGCAAACACTATGCCACTAACCTACACCCCAGTTTTTCTTGTACTATAAATTTTGAGACAGAGTCTAAGTTGCCCAGGCTGGTCTTGAACTTGGAATCATCCTCCCTTAGTTGCTTGAGTAGCTGGGATTACAGCCATGTGCTACCACGCTCAGTTTAACATACATAATTTAAAAACTACAAAATATCATCATAACCCTCCAAAAATACTGTTTACCATTTTTGGTGAGGAAAGATGAACATCCAGATTTGGGGCCTGGAGTTAAGAAAAATGAGCTTCTCAGAACAACATATCATGAAAGGACACTGACATACCTGGAGAGCAACAGTTTACCCCGAAGCTGCAGGTCAGCGGCACAATCCTCAGATTGGCAATTTCTTTCAAAGACAGTCTGTGAAAAACACAACAGGAAGGTTGGAATAGGATTTAGTGGCAAATGAGTAAATAAGGGCCAATCTTCTTCTTGGGAATTGTTCCCTGGACTTTCACTGCTGTCCTCCCACCTGCAAGAAGTCAGTTTGCTGCATGGTGACAGGGATCTTAAGGCTCCACAAAAGCCCAAGTTGACAGTGTCTGGATCCCACAATCCAGCCTTACATGAATCACTTCTCAGTCCCCCAAAGTTCATTCTCATGAGCATTTTTTCAAAAAGCATGTATGACAAGTGTTCCTTCAGGCTGTGCTTATCTAAGAATAGCTTTGTGATGCTGTCAGATGTAAATGATAATTCAGCTGAGTCAAGAATTAGACTATAGGTATTGTGACTCTTCACAAAAGCCCTCTCCACGTCTTCTAGACCAGGGTGTTTTTACTATTTTTACTTTTATCTGTTCTTTTGTTTGGCCCAAGTTCACTCTGCAGAGCTAGTTTTTCCCTTACCCCTTCACTCCTCACTTTTCAAATAAACTTTTGGCACCATTAAAAAAAAAAAGAATTAGACTATAGTCTGATCACTTCCCCAACTTGTTCTTTTGAGAGGACATAAAAATCCATATTTGAGATAGATTCTGCTGAAAGATGGGACCATATTGAAGTTTCATTCCCAAAGGACATGGGAAAGCCAAGCAGGCCATTAGACTGAGGGCACCACTACAGAACAGAGGGATTTTCCCCAGTTTTGGAGTGAACCAGCCAACACTTCACAGAGAATAGTATTTTTCCCTAACCAACACTAGACTTCTGCAATCAAAGCCCCACCTAGTGCCCAGCATGCCAAAACCCACATCATTTCCAGAGAGTTTGCCTAAGCTCAGGCCTATCCATGGAGGACAGCCAGAGAATCAGGGAGCAGCACTTTGCCAGGAGTTAGAGCTTTCTTTTTTCCACAGCATCTGGGGGGCTTCTTAGTTTGTCCTTCAGTCTGGTGTCCACTCTCTGATGTTTCTCTCTGTGAGCTATAGCCTCCCTCTGCTCCAGATGATGGAGATGCTTCACTATTGCCAGAATGCATTGATCATTTTGGTAGGATTTGGACAAAAAAGCCTCTTTCCCTTTTTAGTTATAATTTTTTCACTGTAAAAGTTCTTTGCTGCCACTGCCCATGTTTGTGAGCTTCTTCCCACCTACCTACACATACTAAAGTTCCGGGTAGCTTGTTTCCTTCCCACAGAGCTGGTCTAGGAGGCTTCTCAGGGTGAAAGCATGAACTCCAGAAAATTTGTTGGCCAATGGACAGTCTAGACTCAATCAGACAGGGTAATTTTGCCTATGGAAATTCATATTCCTGTGCCACATTTCCAAAAGAATAAAGTGTCCCAGCCAAATTCTTGTCCTTGATTATGGTGGAAAATCATGGAAGTCTTGGGCAAAAAGAGGATATTCCCATGTTCTTTTGGATACTACAAAGGCAAAGAGAGAGCCAAATTTCCAAAAGATTTCAATATAAGACTTTTGTGCTTTGCTTTCCATCTCAACCAGGGAGAAAACAGGAGGAAGAATGTATAAGGACTGCAGTGATGTCTTGTGCAGGAAGAAAGGAAGGCCTTTAGGGCTTTAGGACTAGGCTAAAATCAACTTAGTGGCCTCACCACTAAGTTGATGGAATGTAAGATGGAGGTCCCTTGCTGATATGACCTCTCCTGAGGTCTTGAAACTAAATTTGTTACTCATAATTTTATATTTTGGGTTTTTTGTTTTGTTTTGTTTGGGGGTGGGTGGGTTTGTTTTTGTTTTTGTTTTTGATTTTGCTTTTTGTGGTACTGGGGATTGAACTAAAGACCCTGAGCTTGTGAGGCAGGCATGGCACCACTGAGCTAAATCCCCGGCCCCATAATTTTATATTTTTTTCTTCAAGATCTCCCTCCTACCATCAATTATATGAGCTTCAGACCCCTCAAAACCCAGAGATAGCCTTGGTTACAGTTCTTTCCTTGCATGTGTCTTTGTCATTTCACAGCCAGGAGACAGCCTGACTTCCAGGCATCAGGAGTGGCACGGAGGTGTGGGGGCAGTAATGAGAAGCAGGTAAGAACTGAAGAGGCTGTGACTTAAATCCATCCTGTGACTTACGGTGTAAATTCTGGCCCCTGTATTCCCAACCTCTGTCACCCTTCTTCTCTCGTGTCATTGTCCCTTACGACTTTACCAGTGCATATGAGTAAACGTCATGAACCTTTCTACTTCATGGAGAAATGAAAAGACAATGGAGCCAAAGAGTAGATGTGAATTTTCTTCTGTGCAGGTGATGGTATTTTCCATTAATGAATGCCACAATATCTCCCATCACACTCCCTACAAAGTGACTTTGTAAGGAATCTGGAAGGATTTGTGGTAACAGTGGAAATAATGCTAAATGACTTACAAAGCAGAGCCTTAAAAAGCAACAGAACATCTTCCTAGTTCTCCTGGGGCATTTGTTTGTGGAAATTGACCACTCTGTACCAAGGAAACCCAGCTTTCCATAGAAAGGCTCACATGGACAGCTACTTACAGCCACACAAGCTTGTGAGTCAAGTATGAGAGTCAGTGTGGAAATGGGACCTGGGGATCCTGCAACCCTATTGAACCACTCCAGCTGACAGGCACTGTGTGCAGCAGAGATGAAATTCCTTCACCAAGCCATGCCAAATCGTAAATTCACAATTTTCCCATTTGCTTCCTATTACTGATTTCTAGTTTAATGCACTGTAGTCAGAAAAAAATATATGGTATGATTTCAATCTTCTTAACTTTATTAAGATAAGTTTTGTGACCTAACACATGATTCATCCTGGAGACTGTTCCTTCACTTAAAAAAGGAGTGTGTGTCTTGCTGTTGATTTGAAACTTTTGTTTATATCTGTCAAATCCACTTAGTTAACAGTTTTGGTCAAGTCTACTATTTATTGAATGATTTTTTTTTTTTAGCCCTCCCTTCACCCCCTCCACCCTTCCCTATTTACAAAGACTTTATTTCC